ATCAATGCCACGGTGAAGCTCTTGCGATGTCGCGCTCGTGGACACGCGAATAGAGAGCTTTCGCAAGGCGCCTTCTTTTCCCACCTGAAACGCTTTGTATGAAACGCTGCGGGGAGGGAACTTAATTCATAACTCGACTCACGACCGCGGGTTTCCCCGCGGCTTGATTGTTCATGCACGATCTCGCGACTGGAGCGTGGCGCAAGCGAGAGCGAGAGCGAGCCCGCGAGTCGTAATTAGTACACGCGCGTTTACATGCCCGGATTACGATACCCCGCGCGCCCTATTGTCGCCGTCGCGATGTCGCAACGTAATTGATCGTCGCGGTACCACGCCGTGGTGAGTCATCTCGACTTCGAGAATCTGCAGTGCCTCACAGTCGATTTCTATCACGAGGCGTGCCGTGAAATTTAATGTTCGAGAAATCGTAGCGAACTCTAGATGCGACATTTTTACGGGAGATTTCTCCGTTCGCATCTCCGGAAAAATTCTTGAGTGCGCTACGTGAGATCGTACGTCAAAATTTGGCAGGCGCGCGCGACGATCGCGGGTGAAATAATTTATACATGCGAAAACGTGCACCGGTGCATTCGCCGAGTAATACATTATTCTTCATGCGTGATATGCACCTATTCATTATCGTCAGCAGGCATTTCGCACGCGGCGGAAGACATTATGTTTTCACTGTATGAATCTCGCACGAGATGCGTTATGCGAAGCGGCGCGGTTATTATAGCGGCAGATTTGTAATAAACAGCCGAGTGACTTGTAATTTGGAGTAACGTTGGAGAACGAGGACTCCATACGTCTCACGTGGGAGAAAGATAATTTAGCGGCAAAATCATTGCTTTACTGTATATTTAATAATGAGAGCTGTAAATAAATCTTGCTGTGACAACCAATCATTAGATGTTTATACAGTAAGATCCGTTTTGCTGGAAAAGTAGAAAAATTTAATCGAATAAATTTGTTTGCAGGAACGTTAATTTGCTATTAAAACAAACCCAGTCTATCTCTCAGTAGATGCGTTTTACTACAAAATTATCGTTGGCAGAACGTCGACATGAAAAAAAGCAAAATCAGAATATAGAAATTGAAAAAATTGGAGTAAATTTGGAACAAATGATTTACAGGTCTAACAAATAAATCAGCAAATGAAATTGGCTTAACAAATATTTTTACTGTCCATATAATAAATAACGAAATTTCCTACAACTAAATATTTGTTATTCTAGCAAATATTTTTTTTCTAAAAAGCACATAACTTGCGTTTAATAGAATATATAGTCTTTTAATAAATGCTAAAATATACAATTGACAGATGTAGGAAAAGCTGTTGTCGCTTTGCGTATCTCTGATTGTTTTACAGATGTTTCAAGCATCAGAACGACACAATCTTGCGTAATCATATAGGCATTATTATCGCAAAGGATACAAAGAAAACAATGAAAATCGCAATAGTGGCTTTCTGTATGATATCGGTGAACGTTTCTGCGCGGAGTTAATCGAAGTTTTGCACGCAATTCGTATTTTTGTCAAACGAAACGACGCGAGCGACAGGACGGATGGGACATTCCTTGTTGTGCGCACGAGGGAAAAATTCAACTGCACGTATTACGTAGCACACGTTTTTAACACCACGGTTTATGGTACGTCGGGCATTTGGAGCGATTTTTATTCGACCGGTAAGGCTCAAAAGTCGCGCATCATGGCGACACGCTAGAACGCGCGTTGAACGAGAACGCAGATTACACGACGATAACGTAACGCTAGAGATCCAAGAGTTTGCGGATCAAAAATGGTAGATACGAAGAGATAATAGATTTCTCTTATAGTTATCTATTTCTCTTTTTCTTTCTCTCACTTTCTTTCACTTTCCGAAAACGCACGAAGCTTTCCAAGTGTACACATACACTGAAAGAAAAGATTGGCTGCTGCAACCAATTAAAAATGCTATGCCATATTCAGCCAATCTTTTCCTTCAGCGCAGAAAAATATTATTCTATTGCTAAAAAAAATGATTAGTCAGTTTTCTTTCTTCCTTTTAAGTAACGGTTATCTTCAGCAAAAAATATTTTCTTGATAATAATTTTAAAATATACTGATTACGATCAATTTTTCTGTGTACCGAATGAGTCATAAATGGAAGATCAATAAGACTGATCTACTTTAACGAGACTTATTATAAAGTCTGTAGCGATTGCCATCTCGAGAAATTTGTAAAAACGAGTGGATGTCATAGACAGTCAAAAATCATTCCTCGCAGTCCATCACGCGTGATTTAATTAATTATTATCCCTTTTCCTCTCCCACGATCGTCACACATATGAATACATGGAGACGAATCTACTCTAATCATCCTTGAAAAGAACGAGGTTGAGAGGCTGAGAGATCCTTGAGCGATGTTTCTTTCTATCTAGATCGTCCGAGTAAACAGCTCGAGGTGGAACGCCTTTCAAATCAATCGCAGATGGATCTCTCAGGTTTTTTCGCAGAGGCTACTACATGCAAAGGACTCGTAAAAATGGCGGTGATCAAATAAATATAGATATAATCGAATGAAAGCCTGCAAGTCTCTTATTGCATCCGTTTGTATGATAAAATCCAACAACGACGACGATAACGCTCTTCGATATTTCGACGAAAGTCGAATGAAATGAATAAAAATTAATAGCAGAATGGTGATTGTCATCACTGTCATTAGTTTAATCATTCGAGTACTTAAGCTTTGCTCCTTTGATATCAAACAGCAATATGTAGAAACAAAAAATTTAAGATCTTTCTTACACTGATAAAATCGATTGATAAAAGGAAATAATATTAAATATTTAAAAAATTTTTATTTACGCTGTTCGATATCAAGGAATAAAGCTTAAGTATTCGAATGATCGAACTGATGACAGTGATGACAGCCATCGCTCCGCTATTAATTTTCCCCATTTCGTTCGACTTTCGTTGAGCTTCGTCGTCCGTCGTCGTCGTTGTCGTTGGGTTTTGTCATACAAGCGGATCCACGACCTGTTCGTGAAACTCAGAGAGAATTCTTCCTCTGGAATCCACCTTTGGAGAGGGATGTTCGAGCGGTAATTGAGACGATGTCCGATGGGGGTTTGTTTTCAGAAAAAACCTGCCGTGTTACTTCCATTCTTCCCCATCCCGTTGACGTGTTCAGGTCTTAGTCTCCGCGCGGGGCTTTTCTCTTTTTTTTTCTCTTGCTATCCTTTTGCGTTGGTCGTTCGATCGATGTCGTGCCCAAGGGATGATAAAAATAAAGAGGGCGAGTCGAGAGGGGAAAGGAGAAAGAGAGAGAAAGAGTGACGGGGAGGAGGAAAACGTAAAAAGTACGCATTACCTTCCGCTAACCAGCCGATTTTTTGCGACACGCGCGTCCGCGTGCGGTTATTACTTTTTATCGCATGAAACGTTTTATTGTCCATTATACTCGGCTATCGAGGGTAGAATGAGCACGTAGATAAATAAATAGATAGATCGAGGAACGACAGGGAGGAGAAGAGGGTGCTGCGATGCCCACGGACATTTCCGTCGTGAACGACGGAAATAAAAGCGACGAAGAGATCGTGACCAGCGATGCTCTTGTATGCGGCTCGAGTTCATCACCATCGCATCATCTATTGAATCTTCCTTGTTTATCATCGATTATCGCCCTCGATATCCCTTGGGATGAGTCAACCGTCGCCGCAACTATCGCCTTTCTGACTTATTCGTGCATTGAACTTGATCGTGTTGGAAATGCAGAATGACTTATCGCGAACGAGTCTCTAAAAGTGACAAATTGAAGAAAATCTTTTTCAATTCTTACACGAGAGATGATTCGAACATATCACTATTCGAAATGATATCTCTCTAAATTTCTTGGAGTGAAACTTCACTCCAAAGGAATGAAAATACTGTCATCACTATTGAAGAAGAGTGAAAATATTTGCACTATATCTTTAATATGATTGGACTTGCCTTTAGTTCCTCACTGCATTTAAATGGATAAACCAATCATATTAAAGAATTTTACAACAGTTGCAAAACTACTTTCTCTGCTGAACGCAGTCATTAATTTTTAACAGAGGTGATAAATTATCTTGGAATATATCAAATAGCTATAAAAACATATCTTTGTAAAACGGATGACTGCTTTTATTCATATTCTGAAGTAATGTACTGATAAATTAAATTACTACATTTTTACAGTTAACTATAAAAGGAGATAATTACTGGGCAGACGAAAAAGAAATGTTCCGAAGTAAAAAGTCGCTCCGAGCATCGTCACGATCTGTAACTCGAATCGTTCTTCAGGAGGAGAGTTGGCACGATCTTGTTTAACCTGATAAATCGCCCGTGGAGAACTCGTTCTCTTTTTAGCGTCTTCGTGGCGCGGCGTTAATTATACTACGCAAATAGTCAAAGGGTGGTCGGAAGGAAGTGGGTATCGGCGCAGTTTGCTCGACGGTGCGGCGAATGGGGGCAAATTAAGTTCATCCGACGAAAACGCATCGTCTGTGAATCGGTCTCTACGGTTTACGTGCGTTTAATTAGAGAACGCGAAGAGCATCTACGACCTTCGCGGAACGTCTTCGACGCCCGTTCACTCTTGTAATAATTCAACGCTCGAGGAAATTACGCACACACCGATCTGAACGAGTGAGGATGAGACTATTAAGAATTAGAAACTCTCTAATAATCGTCACGAAATAACTCCACTTTTGATTGGTGCCGCTATTTTTCAGCAGACTAATAGATATACATCTAGACAACTATCACAGTTATAATATTTTAGATATAATACAATTGTGTAGTCATTATAGAGAGTTTTTAATAAACAAGAATTCAAAAAAAAAAATGCGTCCAAAAGAGACAAATGAAGCTTTATTGATTTTATCTCAAGCTTTCGTATTCCTTTTTATATCGCGAAAATGTTGGCGACCACAGGAATCAACATTATCACAACCTTGGAGGCGACCCGAGTGTTCGGGTGACGAAAGACTCACCCGAGACGATTGTCAAGAGAAACGCTGCACTCACGATGGCAATCGCCACGCAGAGGAGCCTCATATTATATATCCCTTATCTCCTCCGCTCGTCCACTTCTATCCTCTTCCTCCTCGGGACCTGCACCTCCTTGTGTTGGCACCAAGGGAGAGCCTACGATCGCGGACGCATCGTAGTCGATTCGATTCGCTTCGCGGCGGACCGGAGAAGGCACGGAGACGCGAGTGTACCCGCGCCGGTGAACAAAACTTCACGACTGTTTTGTAGTTGGGTATACGACCGGTCGCTCGGAACGTGAAAGACTGAGGAAAGGCTCGTGCTGGCCAAGTGATATTAGCCTCGCACAACGGCCCACTCGTGTGCACGGGGCCTCTCCCAGCCGTTCTCTTCGTCTCCGACGAGAGAGGAACTCGGTCTCTCTTTCTCTCCGCGGTGGAATCCTCCTCGAGGCGAGAGAACGATGCGAGTCGACCTTCTGCCTTCACGCGACGCCGATCGCAACAAAGATTTCATGCTCGCTAAATCTACAAGAGAACATTCGATATTTTAATTAATAAATATTGACCGATATATAACAGAATAAATAAGTATTCATTTTTTTATTATCAGACAAAATCTTGAGTCTATAAAAATAAGTTCTGTGAAGTTTTATACATTTACGATTATTGTTGAAAATTATTAGGTACAAGGCTCTGTCTGATGACCTAAAATATTTATTCATTCTCTATAATTGATATCAGTACCATTATCTCAGTAATTGAAGACAAAATCATGAGTCTAACAATTTTTGTGGAGTTTATACGATTATTAAAATTTTACGATTATTGTTAAAAATTAATAAGATAATTACTAATTATAATTAGGTATAAGACTTAGTACAAGACTATTTATTTCTCTGGATAAATAAAATTAAATAAATATATAAAGGAAGTAAATTTGGCTGTCAAATGGCTGTGAATTATAAAATCAAGTGAATATATGTATATAAGTAGTTAATTATAAAGATAGAAAATAGGAAGGATGACCAAATAAGAATGTGTGAAAGGTACAGATGAATAAATGAATTAAGGAGAATTGTAAACCAAATCTCCTTCTTGGCATGTAAATATGCTGAAGCGAATAAATATTTTTTCTATTCTATTTATCTCCTCTGTAATTGACGTATTATTATCTCAGTTATAAGATAATAGTATGACATCATTTACAGAAAGTAGATAAATACTTTTGGTCACCAGATGGTTTTGTACCTAATATCGATGTACATAGGACTTGCGAGAAATCTACGGGGCCATTAAATAAGGAATAATGCAAATGCGTGTAAAAGTCATCGATTAGCAGTGGTAAATTTTCGCGACAGCGATTTACGAGGGGGATCTCCCGAGGGAGGCGAGCTACGGTAGTGCACAATGTTGTACACTTTGTTAATCCCATCGATTTACTCCGCGCGAACGAAGCGGCGACCTGAGAGTTTGCTGAGGTAACACGACGAAATTTTTCTCCACGAACTTGGATCGAAACTCGCGAGAGAAATGATACCTCGTGAGTCGGTTGACGGTGATACGGCCTCTTTCATCGATTCTGCCGCACTGGCGCAATAATATTTTTTTATATCTAGCCATTTGCACGAATGGATATGCATACATTACCAGCAGATATCGGAGTTTTCGCCTTCTCTCCTTCTCCACATCTCGCGTACTTCCAAACTCCATTTCTCACTCACTAAATCTAGGACTTTATCTCGTTACTTTATATATTTTATAGCAAAAACCTGTTCTTCTTTCTAATTCAGTCCTTTATTTTGTTACACTTTATTTCACGTCTCTTTCTTCATTCTCTCTTATAAAATTTCTTAAATGGACCTTCATTACATAAATTATACATCATATATTAACGAATCATATGTTATACTCTTTCAGAAAATAACATCGGCGTTTACATCCAACACGTATAAGCCAGAAAATGGTGGTACCATCGAGGCGGCACTGTCCCAACATTTCGCGTATCTGCACGGCGTTCTCCAAAACATGGAAGCAAAATTGATAAACCAGCTGCATGAGCAGGGTAATTACCTCAAGATTAATTTAGAGGACATCGAACTACAACTTCGATCGCAGGAGGAAAAATTGAAGTTAACATTGCAGGTACATCTCTCAAAAATAAAAAATTATCATAGATGTTGGAAATTTGTTCGCCTTTTGCTTCAAATCGACGCGTTTACTTCGTTATTCTGATGATTCTGTGAGCTTTAAATTATATTGTCGAGGAATATTCTCTAGAATTATATGAAAGTAACAGATTTCACGCGGTCTGACTATATCATTGAACTGTTTACGAGGGCACCGATATTTGTGTTTATTTCTCGTGTTCTAAAGTTAGGGCAAGTAATGTGCTGAACTGTGATTGGGCCGCGTGAAATCTCGAGACGTAAACTGTCGAGGAGATGACTGAATAAGCTCGTGCTCCGAGGCAGACTCTCATCCCGACGGCCGTGTGAGATGGTCACTGTGTATGAGAGTGAAAATTAAATTTAAAATATTTATATTTTTATTGTTAAAATTAAAGGTGTCACTAAAATCACCAAAATCTTAATTACCTATATCCTACATTCCAATATAATCTGCTTTTTATTCGTAATTAATTTTAACTTTCTAAAAATTAAAACAAACGAAAGAATTTTGTGGAGAAAAAATGTAATAGATGAATATAATTAAGCATGATTAAATAATTGATAGGAGAGTGAATCCGGCGAAAATAACACGACCTTTAATTAAATTCAGATTCGTCATTCTAAATTTACTCTACATAAAAAAAAAAGACCCTATTTGAAACGGCAAGTTAAGTTGAACTTGATACATTTGTCTCTGTAGATAGCCTCTCATGCGAAACAGACTTTCCATAAAATGGACATACAAAACGCAATAAACATTCTAACGGAAATGGCAGATCTTCCTTGTCATCTGATGTACAAAGACTCAGGCCAGAACAACAAAGCAACGTAAGTAATGAAAAACGAATCAATTAAAAGAACTGTCTATTAAGACTTTTTTCGCTGACTCGCTCATGTATAAATTCCCTTTGCTGCTGATCCTTCGCGCTCGATCCTTTGCCATAACTCGAATGTTATTGACTATCTGTTTATCAATATCGAAGTTCATACCCATTATTTCTATACACTGTTCGTCATGTACGGTTACGCGATATTTGATTCTTATATATAGTCTGAGCTGTTTCTTTATATAATTTTTATTTCAAACGATATTAGTTCGCTAGTGTAACAAGTTATTTCTTTAATAGATTTACCATCGATGACTCAATCGTCGAAGCTATAGAAAATCACTGTACAATTACAGTGCCACCGGTGTCGTCCTACAGTCTTGTGCGAAAAGACGAGCTGCCGACGAATTACATAATGTCGCCTTTACCGAAGAAACCATGTACAAGTGAGAATACTAATTTTATCGCAATTCAAGCGACTTTTTAAAAAACAAGATATATCCTCATCTTTGGATTTTCAATTTTTATTGGATTAGGAAAAAAGTCCCTTTACAAGTTGGTAAAAAGAGTTTTTTAACAACCCATATATTCTATTTTTAAAAAATTGGCAATTACACCACTTGATAGAGCGTTTCAGCTTTAAGAATCTGTATTTTTAATTGCGATACAATGATTTTTAACGGAGTTACGAGCAATAAAGTCAGAATGTTCCTTTTTACTTAATCCGCGAGTAACTCAGGAACAAAAAATCGTAGGAACATTTTTAAAAAACGATTTTATAAGGAAAACTTCAAGCTTTCACAATAGATAGTCGAAAATTTGCTCAAATTTTTTTTTGGACACGCTACAGACCTACAAAATAAAAAGAAAATTTTTTATTTTTTAACTCGTAGTTTTCTATATGTAAAAATTATAAAACTCACATAAATTAAAAAATATAGTAATCATTCGAAAGTAGAGATTTCAAACTTCAAAACCCTTTTTTTTTTTTAAATTTAAATTTTCATTTTTAACGAAGATATTGATGAGGAAAATCTTTTAATCAATTTGTAAAAAGACTTTTTCTCTAATCCAATATTTCTATAATTTTTTTGATACACTATACAAGCCAATGTTTTCAATGGATTTGAACAGATTATTTTCATCAAAGTTTTTACTTAATTCGCGTAATTACGTAATTTGTGCGAAATAAAAAACGCAGGTAACAACAATATGAAATGATGTTGACAGAAATTCTTGATAGTCCGCAAGCAAAGCTAAAACAAGCGATAATGCGACCAGTAATACAATCGGAAATTCAAGAAAACCTTGATGAATCACTAACGTTGTCCATCGAGATGGAAGATAAAGAAGAAGAAAGTAAGTTACTCTTTTTAATTCTTATTTCTCAATCTAACCGGTTCTCTTTCTCTTTCAAGATATTACCGAGTGCAAGGTGGAGGTGACATACGTTGTTAATCCATCGTTATTCTTTGTACGAAAAGTGGCCATGAAAGCAAAATTCCTACAGTTAGAGAAAGATCTAATGACATATGGAAACGATGAGGAGAGCTTAAAGAAATCGATCGACATCAAGCAAGGTACGAGATTACAATCACTAACGTTGATATTAGACCTGTTCTTTTTAACTAAACTTCTTGCACTGTTCATTATTTCTCGTTTTTTTTCAACATGGAAAGAAAAGAGGGAAGATAAATCGTGCAACAAAAGATCTGTTTTTTTTTGCAAATATATGTTTGTTTTCAACTTATTGCGTCAGTTTAGAGGGCCCATATTCTGTACACGTCTACCGACAGTTATCAGCATCATTAAGTAGCGGTAGCTAATGAGAACTGCGCTTTTTTCTTAGGATTGTTTTTACCATTAGTTTTACCGTTAGTTACTAACCGACACTGACAGTTATCGGTAACTGTACACATACAGATTCTCGGTCCAGGAATAAAAAAATAGACCTAAATCTGAAAAAAACAGGCTTTTCATCATTTTTCATGTTAACAGATGACATGTGCGTCGTCAAACAATGGAAAGTCAACGAATGGTATCGTGGACACGTGAACACAGTGATGATAAATAGCGACGGCGGAATATCGTACAACGTGGTTTACATAGATTACGGATACGAGGAATGCAACATAGCGGCTTCGAGAGTGCGAAAAATAGTTGAGCATTTGCAAATACTGCCGCCACAAGCGATTCGATGCTGCTTACATGGCTTGAAGCCTAAGACTCTTCATTGGACGAACGCGAGCACGAACGACTTTATGAAACTGACAAGCGGAGTGTAAGCCATTAGCGATCCTACGATTTTTACCCTGTGTGCACTAGGAAAGTATGAGTGCCTCCATTAACCATTGAAAAAAATGTTTTACATTACAGCGATTGCATGATGTCCATTATCAAATCTACTCCTGATATTTTACATGTCGATCTTCGTGTTAATCCAAAGAACAGTAACATGGGTCCACAGTCGATGTGTAGTACTATGAAAATTATGGATTATGCACGTTTGGACACTCGGCAAAGTCCGGTAAGCAGATTCGAAGACGCATATGTCCATACTACTACAATATGCTACAATGCTAGAGTTATAAACATTTCCCTGTATGCCAATATTCAGATTCTTAGGCCCGATTTCACAATACATGGTTACCTAAAGATTAAAGGTAAACAAGAAATTCATAAATCTATTGGTAACCTTTAATCTTTAGGTAACCATAAATTGTGAAAACGGGCCTTAGTCAATTTTTCTTTTAAAATTGTTTTAGAAAGTCAAATAATTTTGTTTTTAAGATAGTTTTTGTGCGTTACTAAAGATAAGACTTAAGTTATAAAACACTGTTTTAAGATTATAAGTCAGCCTTTCTGCTATGATCCAATTCTAGAATTGGAAAGAGACAATGAATAAGTTGAACCTCGGTTGAAAGTTAACCGTGAGTTGTGAAACTGGGCCTTAATCAACTCAAAAGTTAACGATCTAGTACTAGTATAGATATCTGTGATTGACCTATTATATATTTTTTTATTTTGTCGCACATAATGCTTGCATTTTTTGCAGACGTATACACTGAATACTAACGTTTATAATAGAGAAGAACTTCCGTTAAATAAGTCAACAGTAGTTATTATTGGTTGGCTTGAGTCACCGAGCAAGATTTATGTCTCCAAGGTAAAACAGTTATCACATTATTACACACTTTATATTTTTCCAAAATCTCATTAGAGAGAGAAAAGAATTTGAGAAGTTTTTTGATATTTCATATTATTATATTTTTATGGATCTTTACAGGCTACGCGACAAAGTAAGTTTTTGAAATTAAAGGATGAATTAAACGAATATTACGCAAAAGAGACTTCAGTAAAAATTATTGAAACACCACAGAAAGGTTAGTTTTATGATCACAGATATTTCTGTTAAATGAGATAATTGTTTTGTAATTAATTGATAATATTAATTAGCCATGAATTTTATTAAGACTATTTATTATTATATGTCATAATAATTTGAAAACTTAATTTAAATAAGATACTCTCCTAATTAATAACTATTTTGGAATTGAAAAAGACTAAGTAAAATTTGTCAAAAATTTTAAGTACTTACTAAAAAAATATTCTCTGTTATAATTGCAATATATCTTTCAAATGTTTCCCTTGCAAAAGTTTTAACTTAAATTTATCATAGGTGTACCATGCGCTATACAATTAGAAGACGATACCTGGCAACGCGGTGAAATTATCGAAATAATTAGTGAAAATCAAGTCAAAGTATTTTGTGTGGATTGGGGGTGTACTTTGATTCAAGACCGCGACGCATTACGAATGATTCCATATGAATATACCATGTTTAAGGCCCAAGTAAGTCGAGTCTTTTTCTATGCACAATATGACATAAGTTTATCATTTTCTCTCATTTGATTTAGGCCATAAAGATATCGTTAATGTATATAATGCCTGAATCCAATGGAACATGGAAACAGGAAGCTGTAACAACTTTGCTGAATCTCTTCAGTAACACAAAATCTATCATGGTGAATCCTCGAAAAAAAATGGATGACGGATACAGTGGATTAATATATAGCAATAACATCGATGTCAGCCGGCAGTTAAAAATCACAGGCGTTGTTAACGATTACATCATGAGGTGAGCATTAATGTCAAAGATAAAATGTTTTAAATATAAAAGCACTTTATTTTCGAAATGTATGTGATGCTTAAACTTTTCTTTGATTATTTTCTCATTTCTCTAAAGCAACAAATTTAAGAACAAATCGCAAAAGAAACCACAATCGGCTGTTAAAAATAATGTTTCTCTACTGGAGAAATCTGATAATACTGTTAAAGACTTCTATATTTCGTACGACAATACGGAGAATGATAAATCCATGAAAGAAGAAACGCCTAAAGATCCATTCAAGGTGGAAGTGCGTATTCAACGAGTGATCACACCAGACTGCATCTACGTTGCACAGATGGAACATGAACAAGAGAACGAGAAACTGATGTTGGAGATGCAAAAATTCTACGATAAATATCATTCCGAATCACGCAATAGTTGGAGCGAAGGTGCATTGTGTACTGTGTATTCCGCAAAGGACAAATCCTACTTCCGTGCAAAAATATTGAAAATAAAGTCCTCGACAGAGGTGCTGGTCTATTTCTATGACATGGGCATCGAGGAGACTGTGACGATGAAGGACATACAAGTTCTTCATTCAAAATTCGCGGAGGAAATGACGTACTGTTTTAAAGTAAAACTAGTCGGTATTTTGCCGTGTGGCGGATCATCTACGTGGCCGTCGTTATCTTGCACAACACTGTCCGAGATTATACAAAATAATGCGTATTGCAAGTTTTATATCACTAAGCCGGTAAGAAATATTCCTTTTTTTTTCTTTTATACTAATCCATGAATTTGAGGAATTGTAAAAGCACCACCTTAAACGATAAATTCCATTTGTAATTTTATGCCATATATTTTGACTACTACATATGTGCTTAATATATATAAACAAATCCGTAGTAGTAAAAATTCATACATACATGCATACGTACATACAAAAATATAAATCAAATTCTATCTTGTGTGAATTCTGATAAATTATAGATCCAGTAAAATATCTTTATTTTTTATAAAAATAATATTAATTCCAATTATTCGAATGTTGATTACGAATATAAAAATGTAATTACTCGTGTATATTAAGGTTCAGGAAGAATTTTCTGATGACGTAATACCTGTCGAGCTTTGGGTAAGACAATCCAAAATACCAGGACCGTTAGCACCAACTAAAATAGAAATAAATTCTATCAACCGAATGTTGGTGGAGAAGGGTGTCGCTTTACCCATTAAGGAGTAAGAAATTAATTCAATATTTAATTTATTTATAAAAAAGACCCTTGATTTATATGCGATGTTTGAATTATAATTTTTAATTCAATTCGATAGCTATTTTGCAAAGGCAGACTCAATTCTCGCAGAAGAATTTAAACAGCAGTTGGAGACTAGTCATTGGGGTATGCCGAACGATGAAAATGTCGAATGGTTGGACAAAGATCTGACTAAACATGAATTGGATGTTACCATGACATCATGTAAGTGATCAATTGGTAAGTTAGACTTAGAATTAAACTAGATTTAAACTTTTTAATTCTTTCAGCTCCTAAACACAAGGTTTACGATTCGACAAATCGTGAGAGTTCGGTAAAGTTCTCAAACTGGTTACCACCGATCGAAATAACAGAAGAAGTATTTCACGCTATAGCGACATATGTGGATAATCAATGCATGGTGTACTTGCATCCTAAGAAATACAGTATGTTGTCTTTTGATTATATAATAATTACACAGAGTGTAATTACTCTACTCTTTTTAAGCTTGCATGGAATTTCACATTGATTTATGCTTATATCTATGCCAATATCATTTATATTATAGCAATACAAACAATAGTTTTAATTATTCGAAAAATATGTTGCTACATTCTATCGTTTTATTTTTGTTAGATTCCGACTTATTGCATTATATAGAGACCGAATTGCAAAATTATTATAAGAAAGTTAAAATAAACAAAGAGAAAAAATGGAAGGAAGGAGAAATATGTATTGCCCAATATCATCATAATCAAAAGTGGTACAGAGGTAGAATTGTCAACAATTTAGGAAATGTAGTGCAGGTAAAAAATAATCTATTATTTTTAACTATTATATTATTTTTATCTATTATTTTCGCATTACTTTTTCTTGATCGTGTTTGCTTAATCGTGTGATCCAAGGTGGAATTTGTCGATTATGGCAATGTGGAAGACTGTGAAATAGAACATGTAACAGATGACGTTAGACTGGGGCATATTCCTATTCAGTGCACAAAATGCGTCATCAGCGGACTAAGACCGGTAGCAGGATTTTCTTTGACAATACCAATTTTTTTTTGCACAATTCTATGTTCGTTTACAAGGATTTTCTTCAAAATCTCCTTATTTTTGTACAACAGGCATCTCCGAATGGTAAATGGATGTTGCACGATTTAGACCGCATACATGCGCTTCTTGTTGATCAGGAATGTAAAGTGTCCATTTTACAGCGCCAATCCACAAATTTAATTGTAAGTTGCAGTTACGCCAATAGAAGTTTACGAATATAAATCTCAATCTCTAGTCTAAAGTCGCCAATTATTTTACTGTAATTTTATTGGTCTGTTCGACTTGTTTACATTTTTTTAATACTTTTTACACTTAAAATGAGATAGATATATATTTGCCACTGAAAAGAGAGAAAGCGAAGATGCTGAGTGTAAAAAGTGTAAGCAAGTCGAGCTTTCTTATAATAATGTTATGCGCATGCAGTATCATGCTTATAGGTATCCATCACATTATTGCGACCGTGGAAATGCGATCTTCTCATATACCTTTCAAATCACATGGATATGAGTATTAAGATCGAACGTAAGTCATGGAATGATTCGGACAATTCCGAAAATGAAGATTTCAATTCGACGAAGACCTTGAATAGCACTAGGGATGTTGTCATTGAAGAGACAATAAGCGATTACGAAAAGTTATGTATAACTGATATTTCCAAGAAATCTTCGGATATATACGCAGAGGATATTACATTAAATGAGAATGTAATTAGCGGTAATTTAGTAGAGACTACAAAGACAGAATTACTTGATAAATTAGAGAATAAGCGCATAATTTCCGATACCGAAAGTATATCTTCGATAGACACGAATATTTTAAACGCACATATAATCTGTTCAACGCCGCAACCATCAGAGGAAGAAGATTATATGATCTCATACAAACGGTTGATCATTCCGCAGGATACAAAGTACATTGAATTAATATTATGTTGTAACAGAGATCCCATCACTTCATTAGCACAACTGGCAGAAAATAACGACGATATATTCTCTGATGTAAGTATACGCGAATTATTAAGTATATCTGACTATTAAATATAAACAGCGTCTAATTTATTTATTGTTTTTTAGGAGCTTCACGAGTATTACTTACAATACGAAACCTTAATGTCAGAAATACAAACTAATCATCAACCATTAATCGAATCCTTCGCAAAGAGTAATTTCTTAATTATTTTTAATAAGATAGATAAAACTATGCATGATTTAACTGACATTATACAGATCACGATTCGTTCAATGAAATATACTTATTTTATAATTTTTTTAGATATTCCGTGCATCGCGAAATTTACTGATAATATATGGTATAGATGCATCATTACAAATAGTGAAAAAATTCTAAACACTCAGTACATGAAAATTTCATTATATTACGTCGATTTTGGTAATCATGAGTACATACAGTTACATATAACGGACATACATTCCAAGTGAGTAAGATTTTAATATTATTGATTTATTTGTATATAATGATACACAAAAATAAAATGTTCTAGAAACTATGATTTACGTGTACCGAAAGAGGAATGGTTGGAATTACCCGCCATGGCCATCAAATGCACATTTTGGGGGCTAAACTTCATCTCTAACGATATTGAATTACTAGCATCGAAATTAGATGAAATATACAATCAAGCAGTTGTGGCTCGAGTTAAGGTAAGTTCGTTTAAAATAAAATTCATTTATTTAAAGCTCACATAAAAATACGTAATTATTATCGCAGAAAATTATTGAGGGTAATCATGTGGTCGTCGAAATATACAAGGATAAAATGTGTACGGAACTGTTTTACGCTGATTTAATAAAAGAAGGTTTATATAAATTTAATCTCACGGAAAACTGAGGATCAACTCTTCGACTGATTTCAACTTAACTCACATACATTCATTTCATATGATTTATATGGCATTTCATATGTGGTATAGACGCATGATTTAAGATTCCTGAGTCACTACAGTCATATTGAGGCCAGGTTTTTCATTATCTGGTTAACTTGTTAGGTTAGGTTTAACCAGGGTTGGTAAAAAACATGTTTTAAACGTGTTTTAAACAGTTTAAAACATGCTAAATTGATGTTTTTAATATGTTTTAAATATGTTTTTTTATAATACTGTTAAAACATATTTAAGAAGAAACACAGTACGTTTTATTCTTAAAAAAAAAAAAAAAAACATTAGTATCTACCAACCCTGAGTTTAACCTAATGTTTTAATTTTTATCTAATGGGCTTCGTCCATAATATAATCATAGAAGTCCATTGGATAAAACATCAGGTTAAGCTTAATCACAAGTTAACTAGATAATGAAAAACCGGACCTGAATCGTGACGTCAGAATGATTCAATATGGTGGATACTCAGGAGTCTTAAGTTGAAAAAGAATTCAAACTGTGAAGTTCATTTTTCATAGTTTATTTTTTTTACGTACAAATAAGACGAGATACATTAGAAATGAAAAAAATATACTCTTCTTGTAAAATCTTATTTTGTAGAAATCCATCGTACATCACGGTTTGATACATACTGCATTAAATTCAGAATCCTTATAGCTGCTGCACACAGGACGCGGCAACACTTGTCGCGCGGCAGAAGTTGGCATGGTAGTCAATCAAGTTTACCGCTTTTCTACAAAAACGAAAGAATGATTGGCTATCGTACTAATTTCCACCACGTGGCAAACATCGCCGCGTTCTGTGAAATCATTAGAGATTTTACATTAGCGTTATCTTTTACATTAACGTTGTGTACTTTTTGCAATCTGTTCCTTTAGCACTAGGATGCTTTGCCTCTGTTCAGGTGGAAGCATTGCAATTTGCTCATCTGACAATTGCAATACTTGCATTATCAAGGCCGCCTACGAAAAAAATTCATGATCTATTTATAATTTAGAATAGCTATACATAATATATATTTTTTTATATGTGCATATGTGACCAAGTTACGAAAGCAGTAACAATGAATTCAATGATTCGCGTTTGACCCCATTGTGAGTTAATATATCCATTCAAATTCATATATTTTCTTATGTGTATGATTGTACTTTTCTTTTTAAATGTTATTTTCTAAAGTGTGAATCACGATATATACATGTGATATCATTTTGTTTAAGATGATTATTTGGAAGCAATTTCAAATAAAGAATGTAATAAAAATATGATAAAATCTTGTCAATGAAAATATTTTAAATATACCTTTTCCTGATCGGACGCACCACTGGGGATACTTCCCGCTGGAGACATTCCGGCCACTAGCCTTGAAGTTGCAGAACTCGCAGGCTGCGAAAGCGCAGCGGCAGAGGAACTGGTTGTGTTGCTAGTTACAGTACTTGATGCTGGTACAGTTGGTGCAGCAACCGGTCTCGGAACAATCGGAGGCGCGACAGGAGCCGCTGAAAGTTTTGAAAAACAAAAGTTCATTAGCATTCAATTCATCAAAAAGAAATTCTTGCTAAATTTAAGCCTCTATTCTGTAACTCTTAACGATAACACGACATCGATATTGCCGTTAAAAATTATGAAATAGTGGTCTTCGACATGTAACACGAAGCCAATAGACCTACATAAAATGAATTCGTAAAAAGTGAAAAACTACATACGAGGTTTAGTGATCCTAGGATCAACAGGCCTGGAATCTCTAAGATCTCTCGAATCTCTGCCGAATCTCTCAGATCTCGGATCACGATAGAAGCTGAAAGTAATGTCGATTTAGTGCAAGGAATAATGATTAAATCTATTAAGATATATATATATGTATATGAGACCTCTCAATTCCTTCCACAGAAAGTAAGCTGTAAAAAGAGCTCTTTTAATTACGCAGTCTATAATCGAATCTATGTATATCGATTAACATGAAGTGCTCTTACTTGTCTGCCATATTAAATGCATTTGTTCCCCTCGGATCGGTGGTGACCGGTATCACCGGTGCGTTGACTGGCGCAGGCTGCGTTTGGGGTGATCCTCTCAAATCTTGATCCAATCTAGCTACACGCGGATCTATCTGCCTGTCTAGTCGAAGATCTACGTCCTGACCTGTTTTTACGGATTCAATTTTTAATTTAAATTCCTTGTCCAGTGATCCTCTCAAATCTTGATTCTTCCTAGTTACACACGGATCTATCTGTCTCTCTAGTCGGAGATCTACGTCCTGACCTGTTTTTACGGATTGAATTTTTACATTTATATTCCCTGTCCATCTGTGACAATGGAGGCTTCACGATTCAGATGAAGTATAACTTGATAAATCATAAGGTGAACAAAACAAGTAGTATTCATTAATAATTCTTATACAATTAATAATTTCCATACTCGAATGGATCAACTGTAGGAAAAATGGATGAATATACTATAATCAAAATTTTAACGAAATTCTTCATAATCAATAATTAATAATATAATGCTTAAATAATAATTAATATTGTAACAAGATGAACTTTTGTCGTACCCGCGAAAATAGGTGCTGGGGCATTAATAGGTGGTGGGGGTCGCGATGCCCATGGCTCCTCGATTCGCGGTTGTACCTGCTGGGTTGATTTCTCCGATGGTGTCAGTATACCCGGGATAGGATTAGCCTTATGTAACATACTGACAGCTGTATGAGGGTCCACTATCCTCATGACCACCTGTGCTTGGAGCAGAGCATACGCTAACTGGGGATTCTGCAGGAGCATTTGACGTGCCTCATTTGGATTATTTTGAACACAAAGTTTCATCTGTTTCATCAGTTCGAACATCTGTTCCGGCGGCAAGGATGCCACGGCTTTGCTTATCGCTTCTGGTGCCTTATCCGACTGAACGGCTTCTCCATACGGATTCTCTGTACTCTGACCCTGCAGAAGACTTTGCATCTCCATACGACTTTTCTCCGTGCAAGCATTGTCCACGCGTAACGTTCGTCCACCAATTTCGTATCCATTTAGATTTCTCATAGCACTTAGAGCAGTCTCCTGATCTTTATACTCACAGAAGCCATATCCCTTGGGTTTGCCTGTCTCACGGTCAAATACTAATCTGTTTGCAACAATTAAATTATATAAAGAAATACAAATACTACCTTTATAATAGAAAAATTAGAGTAATTATGGAAAAACAGACAGATAAAACTTACAAGTCAAATATATGGTTTTAATAGAAAAATGATAATATTAAACATAAATGAATGAAGTTATGTTCTATATATTTCATTATTACAAAGAAATTCTTTTGTAAGCATTCTAGACGATAATTCAATATTGAAAGTAAGTTATTTTTCTAGAGAGAGCATTGTATTATTAAAATTGGCTGCTAAAATGAACAAGAAATGTTTAAGATACGTCAAAGATTCGAAAGGAATAATAATAATAAATTATTTAATACAATTAATTAAGATAAACAACGGAAAATAGACTCACTTGAATGAAAGTACCGGTCCAACCTCGCTGAAGATATCCTTCAGATTCTCCTCCGTAGCCTCGTACGGGATATTCCCGACTAAAACAATAGATGTTGCGACATAATTAATATAACTCTAAGAAGCGGCGCCGAAGCTGGTACGTTAAATTACTCACCAAAGACACTCCGCATCGACTTGTCCATCAGTGTTTGATCCGAAATAGTTGAATTACTCATTTTCGTGCTTTTGTTTCTAACTAGTACGAGCGATACAATTCTAAGAATACACGAAGTACTCCGTTCGACTGATTCGGCACCTAGACGACAGATTCGTACTATCGCGTATTATCGCCAAACTTTAACAATTTAATCTTGCATCCAGTAAAATAGTACAATCAGAGAGAAGTCTAAACAATCTCTATGAACTCTGAAGTCTGAACTGAACACACACTATACATGTACACTCTGAAGCTATTTTAAATGGAACCCGTTTACTAGCGCCTCTATGCGGACAGAACGTGCACACTGAACTATGTATTTCGGTGGGTAACTCATTGATGGTTTTATGGCTCTCAGGCTGCCCTCCCATGGAGAAAAAAACCACAGGGTTACCCTCATCTCTTTTCTGTCAATATTCCCTTTCGTGGTTTCTTTCTTCATGGAAGGGCAGCCGTAGGAATTAGGCCGGAATCAGACTACGCATTGAAGATTGAGGTTGAAATTTGACCAATAAGGACAAAGAAATTTTAGCTTCTTTCGTTTCGATTGGTCAAATTTGAATTTTTCAATCTCCAATCTCAATCTTCAATGCATAGGCTACGTTCACACCGTGCGCTTAGTCCGTGATCTATACGATAGGTGTCTTTGTTTAACCTACAGAATAAACAAGGGCATTTATTGTGGCTGTGTTCCAAATTTACTACCAGCACAGAAAATGCTACAGTTTACGTCACGTGCACTATAGATTTTCAGTACTGGCAGTCAATTTTGGAACACAGCCTGTATAGGTCGCGGCCTAAATGCACGGTGTAAACGTAGCCATAGTCTGATTCCGGCCTTAGATGAATTAGACTATAGTTTTATTCCGTGATGATCATAAAATGTAATTGCGTATATAATTACAAAAGTATTACAATGTATTACAAAAATAATGTTATATATTTAGAGCCTGAAAGTATTGCACTCTTTCTTACCCATAGAAGACAAACTTCTTGAATAAGCTCTCATTTTTAACAGTATCCGATATAACAGCGTTCTTTGAAAAGGAATTTCACCTATCATTGCCGTTACCATGGTAACTGTGTGAACACCAAACAGAATTCTGTCACATAGAATAATATTGTTGATCATTGTTGATCTAACAATATTAGACAATCTGTACTGAATGCGACACAATGAGAGCACTTCCAACATGGGTCGACAAGGTGCAAGAAAAATCAGATCAATGGTAAAACTCAAGTAGATTGATAGTTGTCTCTC